CTGCCTTTGTTCCAGTACCATGCTGTTTTAATTATTACTGCTTTGTAGTACAGTTTGAAGTTCGGGAGGTTGATTCCTCCCATTTTCTTTTTCCCAAGAATTGCTTTAGCTATTCGTAGGGGCTTATTGTTCCATATAAATTTCAGGAGTGTTTGCTCCATTTCTTTGAAGAATGTCATGGGTATCCTTATAGGGATTGCATTGAATTTATACAATGCTTTCGGTAGTATTGCCATTTTGACAATGTTAAGTCTCCCGACCCATGAGCAGGGGATATCTTTCCATTTCCTCATGTCCTCTTTTATTTCCTGAAGTAGCGTTTTGTAGTTTTCTTTGTACAGGTCGTTTACTTCCTTAGTTAAGCTGATTCCTAGGTACTTGATTTTCTGGGGCACAATTGTGAACGGGATTGTTTTTTTCATGTTGCTTTCTTCTTTCTCACTGTTTGCGTATAGGAAAGCCATGGACTTTTGGGTATTGATTTTATAACCTGCAACTTTACTATACGAGTCTATTGTTTCTAGGAGTTTTTTGGTGGAAGTTATTGGGTTCTCTAAGTAGAGTATCATATCATCTGCGAATAGTGAGAGCTTGATTTCTTCCTTTCCTACCTGAATGCCCTTAATATCTTTTTCCTGCCTAATCGCTATTGCAAGTACTTCCAGTACTATATTGAACAGCAGTGGAGAGAGTGGGCATCCCTGTCTCGTCCCTGATCTTAGAGGGAAGGCTCTCAGTTTTTCCCCATTGAGGATGATGCTTGCTGTAGGCTTGTGGTAGATGGCTTTAATTATGTTGAGGAAGGTCCCCTCTATACCCATTTTGGCTAGGGTTTTCATCATAAAGGGGTGCTGGATCTTATCAAATGCTTTCTCTGCATCTATTGATATGATCATATGCTTTTTATCTTTTCTTTTGTTGATCTGGTGGACTATGTTGATTGATTTCCGAATGTTAAACCATCCTTGCATCCCTGGGATGAATCCTACTTGGTCATGGTGTATGATCTTTTTGATGAGTAGTTGGATTCTATTTGCTAGTAGTTTGTTGAGGATCTTTGCATCTGTGTTCATCAGGGATATCGGCCTGTAATTCTCTTTCTTTGTGGTATCTCTGTCTGCTTTTGGTATCAGTGTGATATTTGCTTCATAGAAACTGTTCGGAAGTGTTTTTGATATTTCAATTTCGTGGAAAAGCTTAAAGAGCATTGGGAGTAAGTCCTCTTTAAAGATTTGGAAGAATTCACTAGTGAATCCATCCGGGCCAGGTTTCCCCCTTTCCTTCTTAAGACAGAACTTCTTCAAGTGCGGTCCCTGTGTTGTGAATTTCTTCTTTTTGTTGATGGGGCCATACCCCGCTGTTCTCAGAGCTTAGTCCTGGCTCTGCACTCAGGAAACACTCCTGTTGGGCCTGGGGACCATAAAGGGTCCAGGGATCAAACCCAGGTTTGCTTTGGGCAAAGCAGAGGCCCCACCTGCTGTACCTGCTATGAGATTTCTATCACAGATTTTTATTCAGTATTCTGCAAAAGAATTCTGTGGTATGTTTGAATGTCAGTTATTAGTTTTTTATGGATACATATAATTTATATACTTATATTCTGAAATACACTTCATTTCTTAATGATACGAACAAATGAGGCATACTATTTTTTTTTCCTTTCCATACAGCAAGAGTCTTGACCTAAAGTAGAGAAAGAAAGAAATCTCATTCATGTGTATTTGGCAGAGAAATAACTACCATGCAAGCAAAAAAAAAAAAGTTTAAATAACCTTCATTTTCCCTTGTAAATTTTTAAGCGTCAAGCATATACACAGATCTCTTGATTTGTAAATGTTCAAGGTGAAAGGAAATTAAAAATAATAATAATCAGAACAAAGGGTAAAAAGTTATTCTCCTACTCACTCAAACCTTATCTTCTTATTTCATGTACAAAACTGAAGCATGCTGACCAATAAAAAGAAGGAAGGAAATCTACAAATGAGAGATAACAAATCTTACCTCTGGGAAGCACATTGATGTTTAGTGGACACATTGTGGGCTTTGGAGTCAAATCTGAGGATGAATCCTAGAGCCAATTTTGAGACATTAAATAAGTTGCAAGGTTCCCTATGTCTCTGCTTTCTCTTTTCTAAAGATGGACTTGTAAAATGCATGCAGTGATTTGCTCTGAGAATTGAATGTGTACAAAGTATAAAGGACATCTGTAGCTCTGTAGTACTGTCCTCCCCTTGTTCATTGATTTGCTTGAGCGGGCCCAGTAATGTCTCCATTGTGAGACTTGTTACTGTTTTTGGCATATCGAATATGCCACGGGGAACTTTCCAGGTTTTGCCATGTGGGCGATATACTCTTGGTAGCTTGCCAGGCTCTCCGAGAAGGGCGGAGGAATTGCACCCGGGTTGGCCAGGTCAGCCAAGTTCAAGGCAAACACCCTACCCACTGTGCTATCGTTTCAGCCCCTTGCATCTTGGCTTTTTAGTTTGGCTTAAATTGCTCGTAAGAATGGATATTTTCCCTTATATATTATTTGACTTGTCCGGAGGGGAGAGTTGGACCATAGCATTGACGTTACTCCTGATACTTGCATCACATTTACTCTAGCTATGTTTTACCCGCGTTCGATTCCTGCGTCCCTCTCAGAGAGCCCAACATGTTACTGGTGCTCGCTTGAGCAAATCAATGAATAACGGGAGGACAGCGATACAGTACTATGTTTTACAAGCAACCTGCTTTGCAGCTTATGTTGAGGGCTTCACTTTGGCGCTGTGTTCAGGTCACATCTGTTCATTTCATTATTCTTAATAATTGGGTCCAGAGAGTGGTCTCAGCATGGTGGTGGCTGGTTCTAGAGGTCTTCGACTGCCGGAGTGCTCCCCTCCAAGGGGCCCCGGCGAGGACAGCCAGGCGCGGGGGCAGGAGACTCTTATCATCTTATCATCTCATTCCTACTTTGGACAAATTGGCAGGCTACCGAATGTAACCTGCCCACACAACAGAGTCTGGCAAACTCCCCGTGGTGTACCCAATATGCCAAATACCAGCAACAATGAAGGATCTCATTCTCCTAACTCTGAAAGAGCCTTGAATATGGCACTTTTTAAAAAAAAAATCTCAGGGCTAGGACGAAGGAGACGTTACTGGGGCCTGCTCGAGGCAATCAACGAATAACAGGATGGTTGTGATTGTGATATAAGAGACAGAATATTCTGTTTTTTCAATATTGCATATGTGCTTCTGTATCCAGTCAGAAATCTCCAGGAGTAGGAAATAGAGTGTCACTCCCTCCCACCCCTCCAACCATGTGGTGGATGAAGTGAGGAAAGTCTTTGCTTGAGTAAAAAAAAAAGTAAAGTAAAGGCCCTCCCGTTGATCGTCGATTTGCTCGAGCGGGCCCAGTAACGTCTCCATTGGAGACTTTGTTGTTACTGTGTTTGGCATATCGAATACTCTCAGTAGCTTGTCGGGCTCTCCGAGAGGGGCGGAGGAATCGAACTTGGGTTGGCCATGTTGGCTGCTTGTAAGGCAAACGCCCTACCCGCTGTGCTATCACTCCAGCCCCTTTGCTTGAGTAATGTCACGTTACTAGAAGGAGAAAGGGAAGACCGGTGCTTTTATTTTTTAAAGTTGTTCATCACATTCAGTATACCAACACCAATCCCACTACCAGTGCACCTTCCCACCACATTATTTCCATTTCTCCCAACCACCCCTCAAGCCTGCCCCTCTAGCAGGCCCTGAATAATTTATTTTATATTGCTTGTTATAATTTACTAAAAATGATTGAAAAATATTTCCTTAGAAGAAGGTGAGTGAAGATTGTTGTATCTCACCATAGAGCCATTAAGCCCTGTAGAGGAGATTACTAACAAACATGTTACCAGTTAAGCCTTGTTTGTATATTTTCTTAATCAAGATTGGCTGCCTTCTGCTTTACATCCCATTCAATGTGGTTTTCTACTCCTGGTTCATCAGTAGTGGTGAGATGTTGCATTCGTGGCTGTGTACTCCAGGAATTTAAAAATTTTGAATGGGATGATACAGCTAGAGTTAAATTTTTTATTGGATGGTGACTTTGGGTGCTTCAGATGACAGAGCTTGGGGTCCGGAAGCTTCTCTGCAACTTGTTGATCTCTTTCTAAATTTTTTTATGAGTCTCTGGATCATGGCTAGTTAATGACCTTATTTGGCACCAGAGGTGTGACTGCCAGGCTTCTGGAAGCACATTGGGGTGGGGAGAGGAGAGTAGCCCATCTCCTGAAAGCCTGGAGATTTCAGTCACAACACCCACATACCTGAGTATTTCAGCAGATCAGTCTCTGGATACGTTTCTTCCCAAGCAGTGGAGTTTGGCTGGGAGTGTGGCAGAGATTGTGGAATGTGGAGGTTTTCAGCTGCTGGGGTCTGTTGGGTGGGTTGTGGGCTCACTCGTGCCCCTCGGAGTGCTGTGGATGACTCAGCATGGGGGAGTCAGTGCTTTTCTGTTGTGTATGTGATCGCAGTATGATGTGCTTCTTTGGTGTAAGGTGACTTAGATGCACATGTATTTCTTCAGTTTATACCCTTGAGGCAGTGCTTAGGGATAATAGCTTTAGGACCTCCACCTCTCAACTATGAGATTGTAGCCACGCATCTAGAATCTGTTCATTTAAATATTGCAGTCAGTCACAGTTCAGCTTTTATGGTTGAGAAATAGTTGTGCCCAGTTGTGTCTGCTGCTCAGGGTAGACAGTGCTGGGCCACTAGCACCCACCCAGCTTTGCTGGGCCACCAGCTCCCACCCGGCTGTGCCAAGCAGTGTGCTGGATGGGGTGAGGCATGTGGCATTGGGCAACAGTGAAGGCCTCACCCGTGCCAGACGTGCTCCAGTTCCTTAAGCGTCCTCTCCACCCCTTGGAAGACTTTTGAATTTTTGCCTTTGAAATAAGCAAGTTTTAATGAACTGGAGTTCTGAAAAAAAGAAAAATAGAAAAATCACCATTTAAATTTGCCACTTCTAGGTATTTGAAGAAACTGGTTTTGATATCAAAGATTATATTTGTAAGGATGATTACATAGAACTTCGAATCAATGACCAGCTTGCTCGTTTGTACATCATTCCAGGAATTCCAAAAGACACGAAATTTAACCCGAAGACGAGAAGAGAAATTCGGGTACGTCACAGATTTTCCAGTCTGTATTTTCAGGATGCTAGACACTTGTTGGAATTGAGCGAAGCAGCACATTGCTTTTAGAAACCCTGGCAATAACTATATGAGTTATTTTCTTCTTGTGTTTCAGAACATTGAGTGGTTCTCTATTGAGAAATTGCCCTGTCATAGAAATGATATGACCCCCAAATCAAAACTTGGTTTGGCACCTAACAAATTTTTTATGGCCATTCCGTTTATCAGGTATGTACATATTTCTTGACTCCAAAACTAATCTTTGCTTTCTTACGTCACCTTCTTTATATAGCCAAGTGCTATGAATTTTAATGTTTCCATAGGCCCTTAAGAGACTGGCTTTCTAGAAGATTTGGAGATTCTTCAGACAGTGACAATGGATTTTCCTCGACTGGCAGCACACCAGCTAAACCCACTGTGGAAAAGTTAAGGTAAAGAAACATTCATCAGATTCTGGCTTTTGTATTTGCTGGAGGCTGGGGGACCCCAGCAATGCCAGGAGCTGCTCCTGGCTTGGTGTGCGTGAGGAACCAGCTGTTAGTGCTGGGCCAGAACCAGCCTCCGGCATGCAGAGCTTGCACTTGGCTCTTGGAACTTGTTTCCTGGCAATTGCAGAATCGGATTCTTGACAGTTTTTTTAGTGCAACAGCATTTTGTTTCTAAAATTTGTAGAGGAGCAGATTCCTTTTCGTAGATAATATCTTGTTCCTGGTCTTTATATATTTCTAGTACCTATCTAAAATCTTTCTTACATAGGGTTTGGATGCTGTATCAAGGTTAGCTGGAGCAGGAAGCACACACAGAGGTTGCCTGTTTTTGATCCATCTGCCTCACATAACCTATTTCCCAGAGCCCCTCCCAGTTACCCCAGCCTGCCTCCTGCAGATTCCCAGGGCCACGTGCTGCTGGGGACCCACCACCCCTGCTGGGAAGATACTCCAGCCCATGTTCTTGAGTGGGACCACTCTACATGATCTGGAATGGTGGTGGCTGGGGGGAGGTAGCCGCACTTCCTCTTCCTGTTGGAGAGGGAGATTTCCAAACCAAGTGATTTTGTTCCTGATGGAGAGCTGAAGGCCAGGCAGGTGTGGGCCTCTGGTCACTCTGGCTTTGAGTGATCTCCCCAGCTTGGTTAGTGTTCAGTAGCATAGGAGGGAAAGAAAAGAATCTTCTCTCTCTCTCTCTCTCTCTCTTTTTTTTTTTTTTTTTTTTTTGGTTTTTGGGTCACATTCAGCGATGCACAGGGGCTACTCCTGGCTCATGCACTCAGGAATTACTCCTGGCAGTACTCGGACTATATGAGATGCTGGGAATCAAACCCGGGTCGGCTGCATGCAAGGCAAATGCCCTACCTGCTGTGCTATCACTCCAGCCCCAAATCTTCTCTCTTTTTATGGTTCCTTGTCTGTTTCCAGTATTCTGCTTTAGAGAATAACTGAGTTTCCAAGGATTTTGAAGGAAATATAAGTTAATCTATCTTTAGATAGTGGAGATGAGGAATGCTCTTCCCCGCCCCTTCCCCCCAGTAGATTGTGTGTTGTAAAAAGTGACTTATTACATGAACAAGAGCCACAAAGAATTTTTGCTCAGAATTTATTGTATCTGAATCCTGGTTCCAGAAGAGGCAAGTGGTCTTGTTAAATAAGCATTTCCTTTTGTCCTACTTGTTTTCTCTTGGGTAGCTTTCATTGAGAACTGCTTTTACACTTTCCCTGGATGAGAGCTTTCAACAATAATCAGTAGGAAGACCAATTATACAGTCAATATTTTGAAAATACATATAGATTATCTGCTTTTTTGGGTGAGGATAGTTTTGTGAAGATCATTTTAAGAACTAAGTGAGAGTCATTTGCTTTTCAGAGTATAGGATTATAATCACCAAATATATACCAACTAGATATAACAATGTTTTGGGAAAAATTGTTTGGGAGAATTCACCATAAAATAGTACTCAGAATTCCATATTTTTCAGTCCTTTGGCCTTTGTTTCTGCAGAGCAGAATAAAGAGATAATAGAGCATTTCTCTAACCTAATTTCAGGGTTTTTTGAGGAGTGCAATATAGTTTTTAGTATGTAGTGTAAACTTTATGGTGATATAATAGAGGAAATATTTAAATTTAGTATGTTTAAATTTAAGGCTAATCTATAATTGCAGTTTTATTTCATTATTATTATTTTTTTATAATTACAGTTTTAAATGGGAAGCAGATGAAGTGTAGACGTTCTTGCTCTAATGTGGTTTCAGGATCACGGCTCACAGAGGTGTTTCAGACATTTGTGGCACTGACTTAAACATCAGCACAGCCTTTCACATTCATGCTTACCTAAGAGTTTAAGTGGATCTTAAATTGTTCATCTGGTGTCTTGGGCCCCTTACTCTTTGCTTTGGCGTATAAGCCTAGCTTTTCGGGTTCTCTTCCCTTGAGAATAGCATTCATAACAGACATGCCCAGGGTCGGGCTCCATGCAATAGACATCTTTGGACTGCAGTCTTGTCCTGGCTCTTCCTGGCTCACTTTAAAGCACTGCAGTACCCAGGCACCCTGGAGGGAACTGTCCAGTCTGGCAAGTCCCTCAGACTGTCTGGCATGTTGAGTATTGGTGGGCGCGTGCTTGGGAAGGATAAACAAATCCCTGAACCAGAAGGACTTCTTATCTGATCAGGAAGGAAGATCTAATTTGACATTTACTGATTTCAGCTCTGCTTAGAAAATATTATCCTCTTGAGATAATATGTGGCCCCCTTTTGGGCCACACCCAGTGGTCCTCTAGGACCTATGCTAGGGAGGGGGAGGAGGCGCTGTAGGGGTTGGTTACCTATAAAGGAAGTGCCTTAGGCCATGTATTATCTTTCCAGCCTTTTCTTCAGAATTTTGAAGATTTAATCTGTTATAGGTTGGAGGTGGTATTTAGGAATTTAGGAAAATGTGGGAGTGAGAAGAAGACATTTTTAATTCTTAAGAAATACTGATGGCAGGCATTGTTTTTGGGTGCTGGGGCTCAATAGCAAGAAAATAGAATCTCTGCTCTTTCAACCTAAATTCCACCGCAGAGATAAACAGGAAGAGAGAACTTAACAGTGTGCAGGGTAAACTGCCACACTTCTAGAAGCATTATTAATTGGAGATTTTCTGTTTTTTTTCTTTTTGCGTCACACCCGACAATGCACAGGGGTTACTCCTGGCTCTCCACTCAGGAATAACTCCTGGGAATGTTCAGGAGACCATTTGGGATGCTGGGAATCGAACCCGAGTCAGCTGTGTGCAAGGCAAACGCTCTACCCATTGTGCTATCACTCCAGCCCCCTAAGTGGAGATTTTCTGATTTGGTTTATTTCTCAAATCTTGATTTAGTCGAACCAAGTTCCGGCTGAGCCAGCAGCTGTTTCCTGAAGGTTCTCCTGGTGAACAGTGGGTGAAGCCCAGGCAGCTACTGCAGCAAAAGCCATATAACAGTCATTTGGAAACAGCTGACCTCTCAAAAGCAAAGGTGAGGGATACTTCATTAGGTCTACAGATCACTTGATTTTGAAGCGTGTTTATATATCACTGTATACACTGTCCTCCCATTGTTCATTGATTTGCTCGAGCGGGCACCAGTAACGTCTCCATTGTGAGACTTGATTTTACTGTTTTTGGCATATCGAATATGCCACGGGGAGCATGCCAAGCTCTGTCGAAAGCCTGTTTACATGGAGAAAATGCGTCGGCAACTGTAGAACTGAGGATTGTTAATGGAGTATGTATCTGAGGAGTGGGAAAGAGCACTCGATCACCAAGCAGAGCAGTACTGCTCACAGAAACCACAGAAGGTGAGAGCAGCACACATGTCTGTTAGCTGAGTGAAATCGCAGTGGGAGGGGCATATGCAGTGGGGTGTTACTGTCTCCAAGGAAGTCTGACCTGTGCCTTGGTGACCCTTACACCATTACACTAAGGTAAATGATCAAAGTATTGTATGATTCTGCTTAAATGCGGTGAGTAGTCTACTAGGGTGTGTTGGAGGGGGAGTGACGAGGGATTGGGAGTGGATAGTTAATGTGTTGAATGTACTAAATATATGCTAGAAATTAGCAGTGGGCTGGAGAGAGAGCTCAGTGGATGAACCGGACGATCTGATGTGGGCAGCTGGGCTCTGTCCTCCAGTCCTCCCTGGAGTCTCCTGAACACTGCTGGGTGGGCTGGAGAGGAAGCTAGAGCAGAGTGCAATTACAGTGGGGTGTGGCTGCAGAAGCTCTGAGAGCCATTCTTCTAGACTCTGTAAGGTCACTTATTGCTTTCAAGCAATTATAGCAGCTGCTTCATATTTTTTCTGTATAAAGATGAACTATACATTTATTTTTATATATTTTTAAATAACAGTAGAATAATTCACTAATTTCAGACAGCTCTCTTAAATTGCTTCCCATTGAGGACCACTAAGGATTAATTAATGTTTGTCCTTGAACTGTATGTGGTTTAATTATTTGGTGAGAAGATTAACTTATGTCACTTGATCACTTGACATCCCGTTACTCATCGATTTGCTCAAGCGGGTGCCAGTAATGTCTCCATTTGTCCCTGTCACGTGCTAGTGTAGCCCAATGGCATCTGCTCGCTCCAGGAACAGGAAGAGCCTCAAAATGTTCATTCAAGGTCTTGATGAAGAAGTCTGACCATGTTGTAGGTGGGGGGGGCCACGCGATCTTTTGACGTCCTGTGGAATTTAGTCAGTAACAGCTCTAGTCCAATTGTCGCCTCCAAATTGCATTATGTGTCCAACCCATCTGATTTTCGATGCCTTGGCAAATGAGACAGTCTCTGATTCTCAATTGTTGATGGAGGTCAGAAATCCAGATTCCTTCTCTCACTTGAGTGAAGCTTGATATTCCAAACATAGCTCTTTTGATTCCTCTTTGGGAGACCCAAATAGCGTTCTCATCCTGTTTTCGTAGGGCCCAGGTCTCTGAGGCGTATGTTAGTGCAGGGAGAATGGTGAAATCGAAGAGATGTGCCTGGAGCCAGAGGTTCTTCGTCCTCTTAGCTATTTCTTCGATGTTCTTGAAGGCGTTTCATGCCGCTCTCTTCCTCCTGCGCAACTCAGGTGCCAGGTCGTTCGTCATATTGTGTTCTCGATCTAGGTACACATAACTGCTGCATTCGGAGATGTTCATTCCATTGAGAGTGAATGGAACTTCAGGAACTAATTCGTTTCTCATGAACATTGTCTTCATGAGATTCAGCTGTAGTCTGACCTTTCCACAGTCACAGTTGAAGTCGGCCAGCTTTTGTGCTGCTTGGCTAATGTTTGGTGATATTAGAATGATGTCATCAGCAAAGCGGAGGTGGTATAGTTGCCTACCATCTATCTTCACTCCCATTCCTTCCCATTCCAGTTGTTGCATGACTTTCTCGAGGGTGGCACTGAAGAGTTTCTTTGAAATGGTATCACCCTGCCAAACCCCTCTCTTTATATCGATGATCACTTCCTTGTAGAATGGTGAGATCCTGGTAGTGAAACTGTAATACAGCTCATGGAGGGCCCTGATGTATTGAGTTTGAACTACCTGTTTGGCTAGGGCTTCGATGACCGCTTCAGTCTCAATAGAATCAAATGCCTTCTTTAAATCAATGAATGTTAGACAGAGCTGCGTCTTGAACTCCCAAGAAACTTCAATGAGCTTGGTTACCGTGTGGATATGGTCAATCTTGCCGAATCCTTTTCGGAACCTGGCTTGCTTACATGGTTGTCCTTCATCTAGTGTTTTGCCAATCCTGGGAGCTCTTTGGCACTGTTGTGGTAACATGGGAAGATGCCGTTGTTAATGACATTGACAAAGAATACGATTGACTGGTTCAGCACCTCCATGATTGTACGAGGGAGAGAAAGCCACAAAACGATGTCTGTCTTCAAAAACTCTGGAGCTCATTTGACAACGTGGCTAGGCGTGAGCCTCAGGCAACCACAATCTAATGTCCAAGCTCACAAAGCAGTGCAGAGAAGCGATAAAGGGAGACCTTAAAGAGAGAAGAGCAGCAGTGCTGGCTGATGCGGCAGAAGCCGGGAAAAGCATTCTCAACGCCCACTTGTCCTTCACCAACTACAAGACCAAGATGACTGCCCTCTGATGTCCTGATGGATCTATCACATCTTCCAGAAGGGCAATGGAGAAGATTATTCATGACTTCTACTCAGATCTCTTTGATAGCCATGTCCACCTGTCCACATACCAAATTCTGCAGGATGGATATGTTGTTCCCAAGTTCTCCCTTCCGAAATCCGACACGCCATTTTATTGGTAAAGAAGTGAACAGCACCTGGCCCAGACAAGGTCAGACCCGAACACCTGAAGAATCTGCCGTCAGTACTCATCAATACACTGGCTCGGCTCTTCACACGCTACCAGTCTAAATGCAGTTTCCATCCCAGTGGAAAACCAGCAGGACTGTTCTAGTATACAAGAAGGGAGACATCCACGACATTGGCAACTATCACCCGATCTGCCCGTTGTCCATCATCTATAATCTGTTCATTCGAGTCATCCGGAACTTATGTCAAAGCAGTGTAATTGCCACTACTACAGTTCTATATTTTAAAGACAGTGGCTTACATTTTAGAACTCATCTGTCTTTTATACTCCTAATTTAAGATAGGATTTAGGGTGCCAGTTACCCACATTTGCTGCATAGTTTCTGTTTTCAGAACTGTGGCTAATATGCCTCAGCATTTTTTTGATGTCATGTAAGATTTAACTTTTTTTTTTTTTCCTCTGAAGTTGGTTGGATACCACAAGTGGCTTATGTGGGGTGGAGAGGAGAGAGACGGTCACTTTCCTCTGATTTACCTCTGCCACCCCAGGACAGCTGGGAGGCTGGGCCTAGCCTGACCCAAGCAATGCAGATGTCCTCCTCAGAGAAAAGAATTTCAGGAGACAAGCAGTGAAGTAAAGACATTTGGAGGTTTTTGAAGAAAGGGAAAAGGGAGAGAGAGTCATGTGCTCAAGGAAAAGCACAGGCTTCTGCAAAGGCAGAGAGTGCCTCACTCAAATCTCGAGAGGGAGATGTGGAAGGTACGTGTGCTCAGGCATGGGCTCTGCAGCCTACGTCTTGCTGCCTCTGTTCAGGTGGTGTCAGGGTCTCTCCGACTCCCCCACAGGGGCTTCTCCTTCGGTAAGAGTCTGTTGCGAGGGGCTTGTCAGGGGGGTAGAGTTGGGTGTGGTCACTCTCGAAAGGTGTGGTTCCTCAATATTTTAGGAAGATTTTGGGTGTTTTGCTAAACTTTCATTAACCAGCTAAACATTCATGGTGGTATATTATTTTGTATTATTACATTGTACTGTAGATTCACATTTCACATTTTCTTAGAATCAAAGTATGAGGGGAAATGGCAGAAAACAGTACCAAGACTCACCTAATCAAAAGAAAAGAACAAATGGACTCCACTGTCAGCCAGCCAAGCTGCAGAGCCCCCTGCTGGTAAGAACCAGGCCCCATCAATGAGGCACCTCCCCCCACCTTTTTTTCAAAGAGGACCGAGAACATTTTCAAATAACGTGGATGTTACTTGCTCATTTTGCTTGATAGATTGATGTGAGTTTTATGGAGAGAAATTGCGTATTTTTCTGCATACTAAAGACCTCTGGCTTCTGTTGCTTAGTTTTGTGATGATTCATTTTCATCTCTAAAGTGCTTTTTAAATGTGGGTATATACATTTATTTTAATAAATAAAATAAATGTAAAACCACTCTGGTCAACCCAGCTCTCTAAGCAAATTTTTTTTTTAGCTACAATGTTTTTCTAAGTAGTTTGAATTGTTGAATGAAGTGGGAAGTTTGTGAGAACACTGTAGCTTTTCCCCTTCAAATCAACGGAAATCAGATGCCAAAGTGTCATAGGGGCTAGGATGTGCCTGCATCCCTGGGACATCCTGAATTTGATTCCTGGAATGTTCCCTGAGCAAGTGTGGTCCCAGAGCAAACCAAAACAGGAACACTCTGAAACACTCAACCTGTACTGTAGCTGTTAAAATAGACCTAGAGAAAATAATTGAGCATTTTAAGACAGAAATTAAATATTAACTAATGGTCTTCAGTGAGTCAGTGTTAGCAATTTGAAATTTCTTTTTTATCCCGTCCCTCTCTTTCCTTTCTATCCCTCCCTCTTTACTTCTTCCTTCCTTCCTTCCTTCCTTCCTTCCTTCCTTCTCTCCTTTTTCTTTTCTTTCTCTCCTCCCTCCCTCTCTCACTTTCCTCTGTTTCTCTTTCTTTCCCTCCCTCTCTCCTCCCCTCCCCCTTCAGGCCTTGCCCTCATGGGCTTCCTGGCCATGGTGGACTGGAATTGGGCCTCTCTGCAGAGCACCGTCTCTATTATGGATGTGAATTGGATTTACTGTGATTATTTCACAGTGAATACAAATATTGAATTGTTTTGTACCCATAAAACTAATATAATGCACTTATATCTTAATAACAAAGTTATAGTATTTATGAAATAATTCTATTGAATTATTGCACAATCACATGAAAATGCATTCATTTTCATAGATAAAATGGAAGAGACTCTGCAGTATTAAGATTAGCTATGTCAAGTTTACTCAATTTTTTTTAGTGTTTTATGTTATAAATATACTCCAGAATTAAAATTTTTTCAATGTGACTATGAAATAATAACTTCAATACTGTTGTTTACCTCAAAAACATAAAAGAAAAGGGAAAAGACAGGAGGAAGAGAGGGCAGGAGGGACTCCTCAAGGTCATTCTGACATTTATTTTCCCAGTAATCAGTGACAATTGAAGATGAATGAGTATTCATGTGTTTCTTCACCATCTTTCCATCCTCATTGGGGAAATGTCTGTTCATCTCTTCTCTCCTCTTTCTGGGGTGCTTTTACTTTTGTGAGTGTGGAGACTGTTCTGTGTCTTGACTGTGTGTCATCTGTTGGACCCTAAGCTGTGCCGGGATACCTTTCCAGCTCGGATCCAGCTCAGGTAGCCTCTGTGCCAGTGCAGGAGCTTCCTGGTGGAGGCTGTCCCGTTTGTGCATCTTTGCTTTTATCTTCCCGGGTAACGGATCACTTCAGTGATGAAGGTTCCAGTGAGGATAGAATATTCAACAAGTCCCTCTGTTTTCTTCACTGTATTTTATATAAAGGGGTTTGTTTTAAATTCCATTTTGAATTAATCTAAAAAAGAACCAAAGATGTTTCCGATTTAAAACACGAATTCAGAATGAAGGAGGAGAGTGGAGGGGCTGGCGCCACAGGTGGCAGGTGGCTCCTGCTTCTCACGTGGCCCTCCCAGCCCCCCCAGCCCCGCCAGAAATGAGCTCTGAGCACCGTGGGGTGTGATCTCCAAAACAAACAAAACCCGAGTGGGGTGAGGATTATGTTCTGATATGTTTATTTCTGAGAAATTTGAAAATATGTCGCTTATCATGAAATAACTAGAGATGCTATAGCTCTAAAGCCATGTTGTATGTGTGTGTTTTTTAACAGAAATGTGAAAAAAAACTTCATCCTCGAAAACTTCAGGATAATTTTGAGACAGGCAAGTCCTATTTCTCTCCACTCTCTGCCTTGGGGGTGTGTCTGTTCCTGGTGCCCTGGTGTGCATGGGTGGGGCAGGGGCTCCTGGGGCCGACCCGCAGAGGTGCTCACGCCCGAGCACACACACGGACTGGCCAATGGGCGTTTCAGTTACCACAAGGATTGATCTCTCCTCTAACATTTGAATCTGGTGCATGGGGCTGCACATGGACAGTACAAATATGTTGGTAATGGTAGAGGGGAAGGGTGAGAAAGCCACATTCGCATACCCATGGAGGGCAGTAATGACTCCCCCTGGGACATGATGATCGATTCTGTAAGTGATAGGATAGCTGTGACTAAAGTCATATTTGAAATGTCTGCTCTCAGAAGGGCTGGAGCGATAGCACAGCGGGTAGGGCATTTGCCTTGCACGCAGCCAACATGGCCGACCCAAGTCGATTCCTCCGCCCCTCTTGGAGAGCCCAGCAAGCTACGCACAGCAGAGCCTGGCAAGCTACCCGTGATGTATTCGATATGCCAAACACAGTAACAAGTCTCACAATGTTACTGGGCCCACTCGAGCAAATCAATGAACAACGGGAAGACAGTGACAGTGACAGCTCTCAGAATGAGCTGTGTGCCACTGTGGTAATGCTGATTTACTAGGTGCATTTGGAAAGACTTTTATCCTCTTAGGTATTATCCTGAATTGTATAAAACAATCATGCAGTAATGCACATTTGCTCAGCATCTAAAGACTAATGAAGACTATTGTATAGAAAAGACTTAAGAAATGAAAAGTAGAGCAAATGGATTTAGGCCCTGGCACTGCCAAAGAAAGAAAGAGGAAGGAGGGAAGGAGAAAAAGCTGGCATTCTAGTCCCAGTTCTTTATTGTAGTGTTCAATGATTTAAGCAGTCAGGTCTGCAGGCTGGAGCCTCTGGTGGACTCTGCTCTGGTGGAGCAGTGCCTCGAGGGCACAAAGTTCTGTGCTCCGTCCAGCACAGCAGAGAGGCCTGCACCTTGTTGGGAGAGTTAAAGTAACTCTCAGAAGTGGGAGCTGTGATTAGTATAGATAAGTTAGAGGAGAAGAATGTTACTAGAATTTTTTTTTTTTATCCTGTGGCTATCTGGGTGGTGTTGACACCATAAACCAGAAGTTACATCTAAGTGCCATACATTCAGAGGTCAGTTATTGTAGAAAAACTTTAAAAAGTGGCATATTCAGCAACACTAAGGAAGATTCGTTGTAACTTGGTATGCTTGTTTTGGTTAGGAATGATAAAATTGTATATATGAAATATTGTGCTGTCTCGAGAAAGTAGTATGAAAGAACTGGAGAACCTCCTTGTAGACTTTCCTTCTGCTGCATCTCTTGGTGCTCTTTCTTTTTTATTTTTTTTAATTATTTATTTATTGAATCACTATGGGAAAAGTTACAGAGCTTTCAGGTTTAGGTCTCAGTCATGTAAATATCAAACACATTTCCCTTTACCAATACTTATTTTTAACCGCAAACCCCAATAGAACCCCACCTCCCACCCCTCCCAATTCCTGTGAGGCAGATGAGTTCTAGTTAACACTCTATCTACTTTGACTAGATTCATTGTTTCGATAAAAGATGCACCATTATTATTTAGAGTTTTCGACCCCCCCCCCCCCCCAATCAGACATGCTGAAAAAGCGTTGTGAAATGATTTGCTTTCTACAGCTGGGTTTTAAGAATTAAATGATGTTTTGGATTTCTGCTATTTTACTTATTAACCCTGGAAGTATTTCTATTAAAAGTTATATAGTTAAGAGATTGGTTTCTGTGCTCTGGAGTCGTGGCCGTGCTGGAGAGCCGCTCGTGGGGGGCAACTGGTGACCTTGGTAGGGCGTGAAGGGTGGACTGAAACGCTCCCCTTCCCATGAGGCCCCTGCCGCCCCCGACCCCCGGCTCAAACCTGCTGTCCACAAGGCTCCCATACGGCGGCCATCTTTCTTTCCAGAGAGGAGAGGGCGAATGGGGCAACAACCTTTCTCCTCCGGGCAGGCATGATGGTGCAGTTTAACACATAGTCCAATCGCTTTTCTGCTCCAAACGGCTGGTTATCTGCGTTAAGTCCTTGTGCTTCTGGGGCCGTGGCCGTGCCGGAGAGCCGCTCATGGGGGGCAACTGGTGACCTTGGTAGGGCGTGAAGGGCGGACTGAAATGCCCCCCTTCCCATGAGGTCCCTGCCGCCCCCACCCCCGGCTCAAACCTGCTGTCCACAAGGCTCCCATACGGCCGCCATCTTTCTTTCCAGAGAGGAGAGGGCGAATCTTGGTGCTCTTTCTAAAGCTGCTTTCCTGGGGAGAGAGGACAGTGAGTCAGGTGCTGGCCTTGCAGTGCAGCCAACCCCCATTTTCAATCCCCTCCCTGCTATTGTCGTAAGGAGCACTGCCAGGAATGATCCTTGAGCGCCAAAACTAAAACCAAAGCAAAGTCCTAACATGATCGTTTTGAAGATTTGGGATTTCCTTTTGATTTGGTAAGCCTCAACTTAATTTTTCTAGAGTTGGAATCTCTACAAACCTTACATTATTTGTAATTCTCAATTCATAAACCACCATGTTTATGCACTGTAGCACTGTCCTCCCATTATTCATCGATTTTCTCGAGCGGGCATCAGTAACGTCTCCATTGTGAGATTTGTTGTTACTCTTTTTGGCATATCAAATATGACATGGGTAACTTGCCAGCTTTGCCATGCGGGTGGAATACCAGGCTCTCCGAGAGGGAAGATATATATATATATATATATATATATATATACATATATATGTATATATATGTGTGTATATATATATATATTGCTTTTTGGGTCACACCTGGCGATGCACAAGGGTTACTTCTGGCTCTGCACTCAGGAATTACTCCTGGAGGTGCTCAGGGGACCATATGGGATGCTGAGAATCGAACCTAGTTTGGCTGCGTGCAAGGCAAATGCCCTACCCGCTGTGCTGTTGCTCCAGCCCAGTATGTTTATATTTTGGTCTTTGGAAAACTCCATTGTGATATAGAGTATAAAGATGAAGGGTGGGGCCAGTGAGATCATGCAGGATTTCAGGGGCTGACTGTGCACAGTGGACCTCTGTTTGAATCCCCAGCACCTCATGGTCCTGAGTACCACCAGGAGTGACCTTGGAGCACAGAGTGAGAACTAAGCCCTGAGCATCGCTGGGTCTGGCCCCCAAACACACACACACACACACACACACACACACACACACACGCTCTCTCACACACTATCTCTCTCTCACACACACTCACACACATTCTCTCTCTTATACACTCTCACTTACACATTCTCTCTTACAGATACACTCTTATACTTACACACTGACTCACACGCTAACACATTTGCACACTTACACACTTTCTCTCACATACACACTCACATACACTTTTTCACACACACTCTCACACACTGACATGCTCTTACACATTCTCTCCCACATACACGCTCTCACACACACATACTCTCTCACACATACACTGTCACACTCTCTCACACACACATTTTCTCTCTCTCTCTCTCTCTCACACACACACACACACACACACGAAGTACACAAAGGGATTGCCAGTTTGAAAGCAAGGAAAGTAAATGTCGAGGGTCTTAAAACACTGTGGTTAGTTTGTATGGTGTGGAAGTCAGCAGCAATCCTGGGGAGTTCAGCCACACACTGCTTTGGGGAAAGGAAAATCTCTGTTCTGGTCACTGTTCTGTGCCTGGTTCTGGACTGAGCTAGAGTTCGTGCCTGTTGGACTTTCTCTCCAGTCCCGAAGGAAAATATCTTAAGGACTCTTAGATTTAAAGTGTGAGGAGGGATATCTTGTGAATAAATCCTTTACAACAGAAGGTGAAAGGGAAGAGTCTAAGGTCTGAGTTATTGATCTTCTTGTTTCGTCTTTTAAACAGATGCTGTTTTTGACTCACCTTGTTCTGGTGAAGACCAGTTTCTTGACCATGCTGAAGGACAGTCCTCTGCGGCCTGTAACGGACATTGCAGGTTTCCTTTTTCATCCAGAACCTTTCTGAGCTTCAAGTTTGATCATAATGCTATAATGAAGATCCTGGACCTTTGATACAGCAGTGGCAATCCAGAAGCAGAGACCTTTTGCATTTGAGTGGGTGTCTCTTTGAGCCTTACCTTTCTCAGGTGTTTTAAGAAATGCAGGGAGGTAATGATGTTTCTAAAGAGGAGAGAGTAGAAAGAGATATGCGTTTACACTGTAAATGCAGTTATAACCTTTCATACAGATGTACCTTTTCCGTGTTTGGCTAATGAATTTAGGTTGCTTCTGTTGAGGGCGCGCGCGCACGTGCGTGCGTGCGTGTGTGTGTGTGTGCGTGCGTGTGTGTTTGTGTGTGTGTGTGTTGTATTCTGTCAAGAAGGGTGTTGACTCACCATGAAGTAGCCATGTTAATGGAGTATGCTCCACTCAAGTAGTTACAGCAGTAGTTTACTCTTCAAATGCTGAAAGAATCTGAATTTATACAAGTGAGCACATTGCTGCGGTGTCCCAGAAAGCAAGATTGCGGGTCACCTGCTTTGAAGGCATTTTACACATTCTCCACTTTTCACCACTTAGACTTTCTAATACTCCTCTGCTTGGAGTTTTGTTGAAAGATTTTATTTAGAACCAGCACCTGCTATATGATGTTCATGTTCGAGATGAGCTCTTAGCACTTCCTTGAAGGCCAGAGTGCCCAGATTGGCCGGGGCGCAGCAGTGTCAGGCGACCATCATGATGTGTGACACAGGATCTCCTGAGGCTGCATGGGAGAGGGGATCAGAGACTGGGTGCCCAGATCCTGCCCACCTGCCACCAGGCCTGTAGTCATGTGCAGTGATTCTATTTTTGTGAAAAATTATCTGTATTACAGTTGTGTGAATGTGTGTGGAAACTGCTATGACTAGGTTTTACGTTGCGTCTCAGCATTGCTCTTTGGAAGTTGAAGTTCTCATAGGTTCTTGTTTGCAGTAGTATCTGAAACTGACACTTTCCTTTGAGTGCCGAAGCCCCTGGATGACAGAATGAGACGGGAAGCCGGATGTGCAGTTTATTCAAGTACAGCATTTGACTCGGGGATGACCAAGACATGACAAAACATGGAGCTCACACTTAGGGGTGCGCTTTCTCCTTCAGGATTCTTCGGTCCGGCTCTGAATGTCATTGCTCATTCTGAGAAGACTTCAGCTCGACTTGAGAACATTCACTGGAGCCTTAAGGGGCCCTGGTGTGTCAGTTGCTTCTGACCTCGCATTTCTTTAAGTGGAGGGCAGGGGGACGTGTGTGAACACATCTGTGTGCATCTGTCATAGGATTTTAAAAATCTTCTTTTACATGTGGTATCCACAAAAGGTATCTATCTGTGCTTGTGAGTTTCATCGGAGGGGTTTTTAAGATACTCGCCTGTTTTTAGGGGTCTTGTCAACTCTGTGGGATTTTCAAAAGAAGTGCTGTTGTAAGGCAGGTCTTGGGCTTACTTTGCTTTAGCTTTTGGATGGCTTGATTTTAAAGGAGAGATCATATTTATTAATGAATGTGTCACGCTCTTGGTGCTAAGCAGGAGAATTCACAATGATAGCAGTGTATGCAGAATTTGGTTATTTACAGTTCTGAATCTTTTAATGTGACAAATTTGTGAATCCTCTGACTTTTTACATAAAATGCTATAAGTGCTTTTGGAAACTCTTTACTATAAGAGTTTTTTCCAGAAATACGGCTGCTTTTCTTTGAGTTTCCTTGAGCCATATTTATAGTTTTGGTCCTAGCATTCCAGACCTATGTGAAATTGTTACCAGAGATTGGAGTGTCACCCAGCCAGCCATTATCACTGGCACGGTGTATTTGCAGAGAGCGTGTTTGTCTTTTTCTTTTTCTTTTATCAGAGAGTGCTTAAGTTTGGGCTTTCAGGTGCCTAGAGTTGCATTTTTTAGCTTTCAGTATTAAAGCAAAAGAGATTAGAGTAGTTTCCTGGAGTGCTTCTGCAGTTCTGTTGGCCTTCTGAAAGCCCACAGAAGGCCTTTTTGTTCTGGTCGCTTCTGGTTAGATGCTACCTTGGCTCATGCACCGTGGATGAAATGAGGCTGTTACTGGGTGGGGTTTATGGTCACTTGAGGCTTTTTGCTCTCTATGGGCTGAAGACAAAAAAAAGAGATGAGGTGTGTGATATGTGGGGTAGGCCGTCGTCGCCTGCTTGCTGTGCTGAAGGGAGCCATCAGCTTCATCGTGTTTCATGTCTTTGAGAGAGAAATATTTCTTTAATCCAGTTTTAAATGTTCTTCTGTCCCAGCCTAACATGTTCAAAAGTTCAGTGCACTAAGAACTTTTTCTTTCCCTCTCATTTTGTTGGTACTTTCATGTATAACTAATGACTTTTAAGATTTTGAATGAATTGTTTTTGTACTTAACCATTGTAGTTCAAAAATTAGGGGAAAGGGACTCACATGCTTTCACAGTTTTTGTTCAGGAATGGAAAGTTTCAAGGGTTCAGACGATGACACGCTCCTGAAGCATTGGAGAAATCTGAACATCTTTTTTTTTTTTTTGAAAAAAAAAAGGGAAACATTTAATTTAAGAAAAAGAAAAATCAAACACAAAAAAGCAATCGGAGCATAACAACTCCTGAAAATAAAATTTCTCATCTTGGTGACCATGTTTTTTATCAGGGCTGGAGAAAAATGAAAATGCCATTCAGCTGAAGAATTTCTGTGTTATCAGCAAATCAACTCATTACAGGAGCAGGGGAACCCTTGGTCTTAATACCAAAATGGACACCAGCTTCTCTTCTGAGGGTCTCCGGCAGCCCCTCTCAGCTGACCCTCAGCGGTGGTTTGACAAGGACCACTCCATCTCCCTGGACAAACAGCATCGGAATATTCCGTTTTGTTGACTTATAGATTTCTTCGTAGGTCTCTTCATCAATTTCTATAGTGGTCACAGTTTCTTCCACATCTCTCAAAATCGTATTTAAATGTTGATCATATGCATGTAATCGGCCTCGAAGCTCTCTGTCATTTCTCACTTTCACATAAATTCTCTCATCTAGGCTGAGCCTAATAAGGCCCAAGGGCTCTTCCACAGTATTGGTAGTTTGTGGCTGGTCCACGTCGTCCTCCATGTTTCAAACCCTATGCCCTGAATATCTTTTAACTTGCTTTTTTTCTCTTTCAGTGTTAAAGGTGAGGCTCCTATGCTGTTCAAGGAATTAAGGTCACTATTAGCTGCTTTGAGTATGAATATTTTAATTTTTCTATAAAATATTCTTAACACATGAAGATATATAGCAAAATTAGTTTTATGCTATTAAGATTGGTATGTTTTCTTTCACAATTTTAGTAATTTGTATAATATCAGATAAAAAGAACTAAAATTTAAGTGAATAGTTTCCTTCCATAGGTATAAATTTTACAAAACTTGTGGTCCTGAAGAAAGCCCCAGACCCACATATACATCAGAGATTCCCTGTTCCCTTGTTCATTTTTGTATTTTGGGTTTCAGCAGTTATACTTGAGCAGTAACGAGCAGCACAAGTCCAAGATTCAGACGGCTGCCAGGCCTCCCTACCCCTGAATGCGTCTCCTGGCTTTCCCCTTTTGCTGCCCAGCAGGTTGCCTCCCACCTGCAGGAGGGTTTGTTTTGTCTGACAGCTATTGTGTTTTTTTTTTGTTTTTTGTTTTATTTTTTTTTTTTTTTGGTCTGAGAGATTTTTTTTTTTTGCATAGGAATCATAGTTATGGGGTCAGATTTATTAACTTTTTTTCTGATAAAAAAATAAGTGTTGCTACTCGTTATTTTGATTTGGATTATTTTTTTTTAAACCTGGGGTGAAGGTTCCTTTATTGTGTCTTTAATGATACAGTAAAAGTGCCTGTATTGTGTTTTTAAATGATAAACAAAAGCATGTCCTAGTTTGTCTGAAGTCCTTGTCTGAAAGAGCAATAATATTTTATCTATAAGTACTTCTCTAAGTAAATGGATTAGTAAGACAATAATTGTATTAAACTTCTATATCTCATAGCTTGAGTTCTTCATTTTGTATTACATTTTTAGAATTTAGAATGCATTTTTAGCATAGTTTAGCATTGTTGTTAAAAGTTTCTAAAAGTGAGGGGTACAGAGTGCTGTCTCAGCGTTAATGGGCTTTTCCTTCCCGTTGTTCACTCTTGTAGTTTATCTTCCTGTGTCATAAAGATGGCAGTTACAAATGGGCAGTGCCATCTCTGTTTCACGCTCTCCCAGTAGGGTTAGACCAGGTTTAGACCCCAGAGTGGCTTGTTACTGAGCAGAATTGCCGTAACAAAGAAGGATGCAACTGGAGAAGGGTATAATTTTTTCATGCATAGTCTGGGCCTTGGATTTTCAGCCTTCACAAAACATGGGCTGGTGCCAGGCTGCAAAGCAGGGTTTGAACAACATTTGGCTTTAGCCCAAGTAGAATTTCTGTGGTTGTGACAGAGTGTGCTGCCACCAGCATTTTCTAGATCTGCACATTATCTTTTCTAGTAAAAATCAATCCAGTAACTATAGATTCCATTTTTTTCACTTTGAGAGGCCAGTGAGAGTATTTCTGGTACTTTCTGTGTTGGTGCTTTGCAGCTACTTTCCTGCAGGAGGGTTGCCCCACAACACAGCTGCAAACAGGGTTGTGCCACGGTCACGCCTCCTGACAGCTTGTCTTTATCCTGAATGGCATCCTTTTCTTGCTACCTGGTCCTGGCATGGTGGTGTTTACTTGGAACTGAGCAGCAGCTCAGGAAGAATACATCCTTGAGAAATGTTTGCAGTCGAATCTTTCATCTGGGCCTCTGATTTAAGAGAGTGCCAGTAAAGTGATTCCTTTTGTCCGTGGCCTTCAGCGTCAGTAAAGGACAGTCTAGTGTGTGCAATCTGAACAAACTAGCCTGGAGAGGTGCTGGGCACTAGCTGGGCCTCGGGATTAAGTGGGAAACCAGTGGCCTATTGTGTGTGTGCAGTATCACTCCTGTTAGTGAGTCCTGCTCCAAGCCCCTCCTGAATAGATTTGCTGCATTTTTGGGTGAAAGCAAGTGACCACCCTGTTTCTTCGGTTGTTGGCTTCTGTTCAGTGCTATTGGCAACCTGCTCTTTCCTTCCGTCATGTGGGGTTGGTGTCCCCTGCACAGCAGGAGCCCTGTCTGAGTCACACGCCCACTGGACACCTAGCATTCCTCAGTCCTTTTCTTCTTTGTGATTAGCCATGAGGAGACTATGGAGTTGAGTGTGCCATAAGCTGCCCGCTGCCACTTGATCCCTTCTGTAGCATTTCTCCCTGTGCTGTGCTCCCGTGCTGGCAGGGATTTGCAGACAGTCTTTGTCCCTTGCTTCAGCGGACTTTGTTACATGACTCTTGGACTGGAGGGAGTGGGGAAGTCTGGGAGCTGGGTCTCAGTGAGTGCCATTGTCGAACTGTTTGTAAACAAAGAAGCTCCCTCTGTAGCTCTGGGGTAAAATAAGAAATTTTACTGAAAATTGGTCTTCAGTTTTAAGAGGTGTTAGCTAGATTTGCTTCTAAGATTGTAAACTTTTGTGGTAGAATCTTTTGATTTTCCTCTTTTCAATTCAGTGAATCTAAAGTTCAGAAACAATTTTAACTACATATTGTACTTAGTCTGTGAAACATTGAGATCACAAATGATTTCTCATGCTCTAGGAATTAGCTGTTTTTCTGTAAGACTATCTTGATTTATTATGCTTTTATGATATTGAGGAATAACATGATGGCAGTAGGGCAGGTGCAGTGTAGTTCTACATTGTGCACGGGATACAGGCAGATACCTCTGGTTTGAATAGTTGGTGAGGTGTGTTAGCACTTTGGGAAGGAACAAGTGGCCATGGGTGTGCAGTGTGTCTGCTCCTGAGAAGAGCGCCAAGGACACGCCTGCCAGTGGCCTTGTGCATGTCACTGCTGTCCGCAGGTGCTACAAATGCTCCTGTCACTGTGCCTTGGTGAGGGTGGGTGCTCCCAGGCCACCCTGACCAGTCTAGAACCCAGCAGTGCTGTGCTTCTAGGGTCCCCAGAGTCCCTTCGTTGGGGTAGGGGAACGGGTGTCATGGTTCTGGAAACCACACTCAAGCCCTTGTACTTACAGGGTGTGGACCCAACCCCCAAGCTGTCTCCTAGGCCACAGAGGTACCATTTATGTCAGGTGCAAATGTCCAAAGAATTGTACTTTTAATTTTCCTTTTTGCGCAATTTTTTTCAGTGTTAGGTCAGGAGACAGCTTATTTGACATCCACTGTATACATATTACAAACTCTTTTTTTAGTAACAAATAGGGAAGAAAAAAGTGAACATGAACTTTCTGCATCTTCATGTGTGTGCCTACACATACATTTATATAGATGCTCACATATATTTAAACTTGGAGTTTTCTTATTAATACCTTACAAAAATTGCCCTTGTAATTATTGACTCATCGTAGATCTATATATAATTCAGATTTTTAACTTTACGTGTTGGCTTTAATGAAAATTTAAGTCTTATTTCAGAGTAAAATCATTAATAAAATGAAATGATAGTTTATTATCTAACTTAAAAGTAACCCCCTATGTAAGTTTGTCTTTCACCTAACCACAATAAGGGCATAAAGTTTAGATAGAAAAAAAGGAATAAAAATGGATTTTTGTGCTTATTTTCAAAACAAGATTTGGGGTACCTTGTATGCTGTGGAGGTTAGGTAATATTCTTTTTTTTTTTTTTTTTTTTTTTTTTTGCTTTTTGGGTCTCACCCAGCAATGCACAGGGGTTATTTCTGGCGCTGAGCTCAGGAATTACTCCTGGCGGTGCTGGGGGATCATCTGGGATGCTGGGAATTGAATCTGGATCAGCTGCGTACAAGGCAAACGCCCAACCAGCGGTGCTATTGCTCCAGCCCCTTAGGTAACATTTTTGAAAAATTAGTAATCTTAAAACAGTTTTCTTTGGTTTAGGTTTTCTTTTGACAAAAGCAGATTACCATGCTGGGTTATGTTGAACAAATTATCTTTTGGGGTCCTACAAAAGCTAGTAGATAAAAATTGATGACATAGTCTTAATAGGATAATCAATGGAGAAAATGAGATTGTAGAGTAAATGTGATAAGTAGATTTGTAAATGTTGTTCACTAGTCATTTTTGTCTTGTGTGAATGACTTAACATTTAATTTTTGCCCTAACTATTGCTGTGTTTTATTACTTTATCTTCTGGGACATTTTAATATTTGAGGACCGCCTTTCAATTCTGTTTATGTAGTAATGAAATTTTACTTATTTAGGGAGAACAGAAAAGAAACCCCCAAATGCCTATTGTGTTTACCTTGTAAGAATTGGTATCTTTAGAAGCAGATTTATGGTATTTCTAAATTTATTACATTCTGGCTGAACAGTATCATTGTCTTCCTCAGTGTTTATGAAGCTATAAGAACTGATTCTTACTTTGTGTGACTATCATAAATAATGATTTTCAGAGACTCGTATTTATGAGTTGGGAGTTTAAATATTTATGGAATTACTGCACTTCCAAAGATTATTAGAAATGCCAGCTCTGTTATTCTCTGAGAAAATGAACGAAGTCCTCTGTCTTAACTGTTATTTTGCTCTTCTTGAAAGATCTGATGTAAATAACACAAGCTTAGAAAATAAAAACCTTTTCATTTTAAAAAATGCATTTCAAGTGGTTGAAAGTTTCGTTTGTATTTTCAAACTATTTATGCTGATTGTTCAAATATTGGCTTCCTGTAAAACATTGTGTTAAATTTAGACTGTCGTGCAATATAAATAAATTTTGCTGCTTGGGCAGTGTTAATTGCTACCTTAACCTGGTTTTTGCATCACTAACTGGTTATTGTATGATCCAAGTTGTTCATAGTTTGGTTGCATCTGTTTCAACCAATGAAAAAGGACAAGTGTGAAATAAAAGTATGTTTGTAAGTCCAAATAAATTTTAAAAGTTAGAGTGTCTTTATGAAACAATTTAACTGGTTTCTTCCTTTTTTAAAGCCACACTGGTCATTCATTGCTCAGGGATTGCAGAGGGCAGTGATCAGGGGATGCTGATGTTTATTGCTTTACAACAAGGTTACAGTGTGAGTTAATTAGATAACCAAACCCTAGCAATTCTGTG